CAAAAATTAAACATAACAACTTTTATTGAAAATGAGATCAGAATTGCTAAAAAATGTCGATATTTTTTTTTTTTTAAGGAACAATCGATAATGCCATCGATAGTTTTCTAGCTCTAATTTGAATATATTATTTCTTAATAAGTTCAAAGCCCCATGCCAGCAATTGTTTGATTATAGCCATGCGAGTAGTTAAGGGTTAAGGCCAAGTTACGTGATTCACCAATGCAAATCGATAACTGACAAAATTTCCATAAAATAAAGATGGCAAAAATTTTTCTAGAAAAAATTTAGTCGGTGATTTTTCATTTTAACCAACCCAAACCATACTTGGGCGTGGTTCGGTTTGATCAATGTTTTGATTCACGGCACGAAATGTGTCGAAGTTTTGGTTCAAAATCGGCATGCAGCACTGCAAGAAAAAAATCAGTCTTTGAACAAAGTGAGAGGACAAACAAAAATTCAAAGATAGTTTCAAGTCTGTATTGAATTTTACGATTATATTTATGTAAGTAATTTTTTTATGTTGAATCAAGAAAAACTGCCTAAAAAATTAAAGTCAATTAAGTCACTTTACACACGTTTTTGATTTTCTGAAATGTGACGTTCTTCCAGCAAATGAGCATTTGTGCATAAAAGCTATTTTAAACAACTTTTTTGAAGTGTTTTTTTTTTACCGGTACTCTTTACACATTTTTTATTCGCGCTTTGTTATTGTGAAAATTCATAATTAAAAGGAAAACCAATTATTATTTTTTTTATAAGTGAATACGCCTCCGAGCGTTATGCATCGTTATTTCCACCGTTTTGTTGTGAACTGACTGCATTACAAGGATTTTTCCGCGCTTTATAATCCTCATACACACACACACATACCACGTACTAGTTACATAGATAAGTGTGACGTCGGATTTGTAGCAGGAAACTGCCAAGGTACCGGCGGCGAAACGGATATTTCACGGAGGTAAGTGTTCTTTTGGATTTGTTGCAGTTTTACCGACGGAATTCTTTGTAGTGAAGTGGTTAAAGTTATCTCTGTCAAATGAAATGTTTACTTTTCTCTAAAAAAAGTTGCCCTGTACCGGAGCAAAATCATAAGATTTATAAACATATCGAACCCTAACCGCCAAATTTTCGATTTTCGGTGCAGAAATATTCTCAGAGAATCTAAATTCATTTCTGAATTGAAAAGAAAATTTACGGCTTTAGTAGTTTAAAAATTTTTTTATCTCAAGACAAGCTTTTATTAGCTGTTAATAAAAAACGAAAAAAAAATTTGTGGAGTTATTCCTTTTCATGTAAGAAATACACTTACTAAAATTTAAAACAAAACCGGACCATAGGTGTTTTTGGTTTGGAAATATATCGACCTCCGTGCAACCTGCTGTCTAAATTGAATAAATGCGGTTTTTCCAAATATCTCAGCACGTGCGCCACCTAGCGGATTAATTCATCCTTTATATTGCATTGCCATCTGAGTTTGGTTGAAGTTTCAAGTCTCCAGCTCATCGGGAAGTTGATACAAAATTTATTGCCAGATTTGATTACACACAGGTGAAACATAATTAAAGCTTGTAAAAATCAAAGGTATTTTGCAAATTTAGATTTGCATGGCTTTTGTTAGACCGTATCATTTTGT